TCTTTTAAAAAGTAATTAGAGTTTGTTTAGAAGTCAAATCTGGTGTTCTAATTCGTTTAGTTTTCATTTAAATGTGTCTCAAAGAAAATTACTATCTTCCTTGGAATTACTATATTACTTCTGAATTGATTCTTGTCTGATTCCTCATATAAGATATTTTATAAATTCTTTAGTGAATTGAATTTAAATTTTGTAGCTTATTGTTTCGTAATATATAATATTTTATGGTATTGTACTTCTATTTGGATTTGTTGGTTTTATATTCGATTAGCTTGTCTTGTAATTGGTATTCGACTACTTAACTTTGTAAAGAAAAGAACTTTTACTGTAACAGTTTACTGTACTGACGCGTGCAGTAAACTTCTATTTTATTTAAGTACTTTTGTTTAATGATTGTATCTTTTGATTGATGTACTTTTTTATAATAATAAGATTTTGAATTGAGACTGCAGATATTAAATTAACGCAATGAAAAATTGTTATTTTTATACAATATTTACTGTTATTGTGTCCTATTAATGTTTCTCTTTGTACTTTACTATGTATAATAAATCACTGATGCGGTTTTCACTTAAATAGAATTTTATTACTGAATTCAGTAGTTATTCTATTAAACGTTCAACACAGTTGACGTTTGATACTTCTGGAGTCCTTTAGTATACGTCTAATGTTCCTTGACGTTATGCATTCTCCACGAGAAGGATAATTAGTAAAGTATCCAGTTTCACGAAAGTGCAGTGCAGAAATAGAATATTCTACGAGCTATGCAGCAGAGACTGAAATGAAAATGACATTTGCAACGCTTCGAAAGTAAGTTCTCTTCCAGTTATGAGCGGTGTTTACTTAATTTTCACATTTCCGACTCACGGTCACTTTGTATTTTGAATATTTAATGAAACAGCTTGAATAAGACCTTTATCACTTCGACGTTCTGAAAAACGTTAAAATCTCTGCTGCCATTAATGCACTTTTGGTATTATCGTAAGGAAATGTAATAATTGTTATCATAGTTTCATTACCAGCTATAAATTATTTGCTATTTTAGTGAATTAGGAAACCTAGTAAAAAGTTATTATGTCTTTTATAAATTATTAGAAACATGCGGTAACAATAAGAATATTTCAGAACAGTAGTTCATTAAAATATAGATTTTTGTATTATAGTGAGATTAATTTTCAATTATAAAATAGAATGTATTAAATTTTATATATTAATCATCGTTTAAATTTCATATTTTGTGCATACTTAGCAGATTATTAAGTGGACGATATATTGCAATAACTATGAAAATTGATTAAAATACATGAAATTTTTTAAACATTAACAACTATTTTGTACTTGTTCAAGGTACTTTAAAAATATTCTTATGCATTTATGTGTTATAAAGTGTTGTAAATATCTTAAGTTAATAATATACTGTGAAAAACAAGTAAAAAGTTTTACGATTTCAAGGGGAACATATTCTACAGTATCCACATTGTTACATTGTTTATTTACGAAGTTTTGAAGGACACAAAAAATTGTCTCATTCTTTTTTTACGAAGAGATAAAAATGGTATAAAGTATATTGACAATGAGTACTAATAAGAAAACTTTCGCACTAATGTAATATTAACCCTGAACGATCGACAAGCTTCTATTAACTCTTTACAAACAAGACTGTTTTAAACTCCTAAAATTTGTTTTCCTAAAAGAAAAAAACCGCATGTTAATCTCTCGTTAGTTGAATAATTAAATTATTCATTTGTAGTTTTCGATTTTAAACATCGAAGCTCGAAATTGCCATTATGGCGACATGCGACCGCAAAGGATTAATGATACTGAATAAAAACAGAAAAATTTGTTTAACCAGAACTATATTCTGATATATTAACACGTTGAATACTATGGGGGTCACCGGTGATACAAACAAAATCGAATTACTATACATCACTCAATTAAACGATGATCATTTGAAAACATTTCAATATTATAAATAATGCTATCTGATGCGGTGACGTATCTATGACAACTATATCAACGTGCAATAATAATAACGCAATTCAGTCAAAGGATTTAATATTATATTTTCTTCATTTTGTGTATTTTGCTGTGTGAAATCCTACAGGGTTCAACACGTTAAATTGTATTATTGTTTGTTTTTTCATTTTAAAAGATAAAAACAGAATTTAATCGAAATCAGCGAATGTCACATTCTTATGTCTCCTTGTCACAGCCAGTGCACCTCAGGCAGTAATACGGGAACACAATCAAAGCGAGCTATGGGTAACAAAAGTCCACGGTCCAGTACTTCAGATTTTCCAAGCAAAGGACTGCTTTTTCGCAATGAAAAGCAATTTCCGCAGTTTTTTACGTACAAAAGGTACTGCTTGCAGCAGTGTTGTCCACGGATGGATACCCTGACTTTGACACCCTTTACATTCTCCCGCTATTATAAACAAAGAACAGCATTGCTAGCAAAAAACAAACAACTCGGATTCTTGCATCAAAGAGAGAAACCAGTAAAGAACGTCGTATTGTGAAATTAACAGTTCTGTTCGTATATTTTAAAATGATTTAAAAACAAATTTATTTTGAAATTAACATATTGACAATTTCACGAATTTTTTGGGTTTTTAATAAACATTATTTGTTTGTTATAAATTGTACTAGTCATAAATATTATTTTACAATATCTTATAATATTATTTTACATTATATATGTTAAATTTATAAAAATTGTAAATTATTAAATAGTACATTTCCTGTTTCATACTATTAATTAGCTATTCATATTACTAGCAAATATTTATTCGATGGTACTCACATGGTTTTAATGATTTCTAAACGAATTGGTAAAAATGTATTATATATCGTCATGGTAGCCACAGTGTTCAATAAACATTGAGAAATTTTCATTACTATTAAACATGCATATAGAAATGTATACATAATACAAATAACTCATTTAAAAATTAATATGAATTAGTATAAATTGAACATGTTAATTAAAATTAATTTATTTTAATGAATTTAAATTTGTTTCCACAAGGTGGGTGCATTCGATGCAATGGTTAGTAGTTTGGCGTCCTTGATAACGGGGATGCAATACGGCAATTTCATTTTATCCGTTCGTAAAGCTTGGCCAGAATTCGCTTACCAGGTCACATGGGAGGATTACAAGAAAGTCACTATATTTGTTACACAGTAACTGCTGTCACTGTTACGCCACTGGTATAGTGCATGATTCGTTCATCCAATTTTTACTTCGTTCTACCACGGTATTCTCTCGATTTTTGTTTAAAGGAAACAGAGTTCTTGGAGTGTTATATCTGAATCCTCTAGCATAGTTGGAAATTATTCGGATTCTTTGGAATAAATGTTCATTCCAATTGTTCTCAGTAAATGAATGTTTAAGATAATTTTCTTTTGTTTTTTATTACTTGCAACAAGTTATTTTATCAATTTATTTAATATATCTTTATTTATTTGAATATCTTAATAAAAGACGAAGAAACGTGCATTTCTTTGATATGATGTGATAACTGTTATTAGTATATTTATGTAGATTTGTAATTATAATTATTATTAAAATGCATGATTATTATATAATTATTATATCATATAATATAAAACTTAATTACACTGAATTTATATAATAATTATTATTATAATAATCATTATCAACTATTATTATTCTTATTAACATTATTATATTAATTAATTGTAAATTGGTGATTATAAACATAAAATATATAACACCTATTACTTTAAGTATATAATTTTTTAATTTTCTTGAAAAGCTCATTAATATTTGCGTCAAAGTATTAAGGTGTTATGAAAATTCTTTTTTTGCAAAATTAAGGACTTTATTATAATGTAAAATATTCGGAAGAAACATGTGTATATATTTGAATATTTCTTTCTTTACAGAATCTTCCATTTTATATAATTCACCATTAAAAGTCACTGATACTGATTGTGGTTACGACTCGTTATTTTCTCTACGTTCTTTCTACTGCGCAGTGCATATTTTTATTACATTTGATTTAGGATAGAGATTACTATATAAAGAAATTTTATGTGCTATCACATATAGTAGCCGCGAAGCTGCATATGATGTTGGGATATGCATCTTCGCACGGTTCCTCGTGGGAATGGTTCTTGAAGCGTTATTCGGAGCAGAACAGGATGAACAAGCATGCGATATAATTGCAGTCTTGAAATGTCACACTATCCGTTCGCCAACATTTATTATATATTTTTCCAACGAAGAAATGTGCAAATAAAGACATTTTTCGGAATACATGAATAAATTGCCTGTTCTCATCAAATAAATCTTGTATCTTCATTTTAATAAATACTAGTTTCAAATAATATTATAATTTTTAAATTGTCTATATTTGTATTTTTCGTCAGAACTTGAAGTACATTTTTTAAAGTTTCATATGAATTATTTCAATTAGTGTTTATTAACATGTTGACCGCCGTTTTCAACGTTTCGTATAATGTTACTTATTCTACTATAACAACGACTAATGGCATTAGAATTAATTGTTAATGATTTGATGTCATAGCTCCCAAGTTACACTATTATTTAGTTACTTATATAACTAAATATTTTGATTTGACATCAGTTTTCTTCCCGTAATTGTTTTTGACATTAAAATTACCTGACGGGTCAAAATGGACCCATTCCTGATTTCTTCCTTTTGCAATTATTAAAAATACAACAGCTGTTTCTCTGAGCAATTATTAAAGAAATTGATTTGGTAATACGCAAGTTGAACTGTAAATCAATTAAAGTCTCAATAGATGCAATCTTGGAACTTCCTTAGAGAAATTTCAAAAAGTCAATTTAACTGCTCGGGAGTTTTAGTGTTAAGCAATTTGGAAGCTCCGGTTATTTGTGATCACTATGGCGGTCCACATGTTAATTATTATTCCTGTTATTAAGATACTGAGATCTGATAAATATTCTTCTGGTATCGAACATTGAGAATATATTGATTTTCACTTACCCAGTTCGTGGTCTTCTGTCTACGTTCCAGAAGACGTTGCTGAAGTTTAGGCCCAGGTCCGGAAAGAAACGCCCTTACCAAGTTTCTAGTTTTCTCCAAATTATTCGGAGCAATTACTTCAACCTGGGCCAAATACTTCTGCATGGTTACTTCTAAATCCGGGACGGGAAGAATTGGTAGAGTTTCCTCCTTCTGCAAAAAGAGGGGGAAGCAATTATTGTAATAAGAATCGATCAGTATTTTCATTCGAAAGAAAGGGAACTGCATACAATTACATAACGCAAAGCAAATGCATCTATAATATATTCTAACGAAAAACTAAAGTAAAACCAAGAAGAATTACACATTTATCTGAAAAAATAAATAATTTATTGTTGAAAAAATGAGTACCATTTTGCGTTTTAAGATGACATATGCTGAAGAAGATATATACATTTGTCAAACGCAGTTAACTGATTATTAAGTATCTTTTTTACCTGTCGATTAAAAAATTCAACAAGATAATTACAGTACTGAATTTTACGCCCATTAAGATGTATTTTTGACACTTAAGTTATTTTCTCATCTCATCCAAACTGTACATTTTAAACATTTTTCTACATTACGATGCGCGAGGGAAAACGAAACACTTTTGCACAAGGCAGCAGGAGTCTATGTAATTGTATTGATATACAATAATGATAGCCAACGGTCTATTTAAGTCTTTCAACAAAGGTTTCATGCGATTATTGCTCCAGATATTTCCTTATTACGATTAAGAAAAAGCGTCCCGTTTTACCCTACTTTCCCTTACAACAGTAAACTGTGGCAGTGCCTGTGCGGAATATTTTGAGCGCAAAAGTTTGAAAGGCTTCTTCAGTTATGAGTTTTTTAATAAAATATTTGTGGAGTACTGTTTGCTACAAATCGATAATGTTTCTATAAAAATACACTCTGTATATTGCTACCATTTTTCCCATTACATTATAACAGTGAAAACATCAAGTAAACGGGGTATAGGCAACAGATTACTCGGCAACAGGTGGAGGAATTTTGAAGGGTGATTTTATGCGATAAAATAAGACACAACTCTATAGAAAGGAAATTGTATTTTCCGTTTTGTTTGCAAGTTATTAATAATTGAAAATCTCCCTGAATAATGGCAACCTGCCAACTGTAGTGTACGTACATTGGGTTATGAGGAGTATGAACAGTGACGTATCAAAACGTAGCAAAACGTCTGTCTCGAAGTTATAATCTAAGAACCTATGAAAATTTTTGTTATGTCAGTTCATGCATTTCCATTTTTAAAATTGACGTTATTTTCGTTTCTCCTATGATGGATTATGATAACTAATAATATATCCTTTTATAAACTTTAATAAAGTCAATAGGATTTGTCTGAGATGTTTTCAGTTATTATTAACTTGAAAACGAAATTAGAAATTCGCAGTTCTGATTTTTCTTCTATTTTATCACGTAGTATCTCTTTTCAAAACTCACGATATGTATGCATGGTCAAACGTCTTATCTGAAAAGAAGATATTCGTGACTAATAGAAACATATTGCTTAAAGAGCGACAAAGAAAAAGATGCTCTTATAATGAAGAAGTAATTTTGATTTCTAAAAAAGTATACTCGAAATATTGATTTTTTGACTGAACAGACAGTTTTATCAGTAAAAATAAGTAAATATTTAAACAAAAATTGTATTTCTCAATTTAAAATATATATTCCCCGATTTTCTTACCTCTCAAACCGATACAAACAAACGAGTACTTAAAACAGGATGGAATCTATAAAAATATTACATATATTTATAAGAATACTGCTGACAAAACTTTCTGTACAACTTAATGAATACACCTATAAAATATAATAAGAATTTCGGAAATCATCGCATGAAGAATTTAACAAGTTGTACAACCGCATAAATTCGCACGTGACGTACATTGACCTTTACGATGTCGCGGCAATTGTAAAATAAAGAATCGATTGAGAAACGAAGCGTGTCTGTGGGAGTAAGAGCCCTTAAGGGCAGCACGCTTCGTTGATCAGAATCCCCTTTCTAACAAGACCAACTCTGCGCACACGACCCTTCCTTCTTCGTTTCGAATGTTTCCGGCTAGCAGGCCTAGGAAGAGGGCAAAGGTAAAGCGGGAAGCGGGGAAGGAGAGTGTGAATAGAAAAGGGAATACGGAACGCTGGAGAGGCAGAGGAGAGAACAGAAAAAACAGAGAAAGGGAGAGAGAGTTGGTAAAATAAAGGTAAGAAGTGGAAGAGAGACAGAGGTCGAAAGCAGATAGAAATAAAGAAAGG